AAAAACTGGTCAACAAATGCGGAGCGGTGTACGTCCTTCCAAACGACCGTGCTCTTTCGGTAGACTGCAGCCAAGATGGAGTCCATGCAGCTGTGAGCGCTCTCAATAAATTTGGTCAAGAAAGAGTGAAGGGCTGCCAAGTTTAYCTCTCTCGTCGTCCGTGCTCTTTCTGCKCCAAGCTTCTAGTGCAATGCGAAGTGTCCAAGGTGTACTTMCTTCCCATCGAACCCGAATGGAATGATCGRGATGATGTTCAACGAGTTGATAACATCTTTAAGGTAGAWTTATTGAGAAAATTTTTAAAACGTATCTTTTAATATAGAATAAAAATTTCATTGTTTTTCTTTCATTTTTTCATCTCTTTCCTTTAATTTTCATTATTCATTCATACTTTCATTTTCACTTTTCATATTATAGATCGTGTTTGGACTTGAATCTTTTGCAATAAGTTTCCCTTCGACATTTTTTTAACCATTCAAGTCTTTTACTTTTTTATCGAGTGCGTCACATTTGGTATTTCGCTTCAGTCAATCAAAATTGATCAGGCGAGACAAATGTCAATTAATGTTCGGAGTCATTAACAATTCCGTGAATTCTGAGAATAGCAGTTAAGTGTAACACARAGTCACACCACGCCAAGTGACAAGTATAATGGTGCCGAAATTTCTCTCAGTTATTCATGTGACATGCAGCGAAAAATAATACTTGTTCTTTTTGATAACTTAATTTGAACAATTATTGCATTCTTTACGCTATAAATTGATAATTTGACCTGCAAGAAGAACTTTTCTTTGCTCTCCTCTTTCAATTTTCGAGGTAAGGGGACTGTGTTCGAGGGGTATACCAATTTCCCAATCTGATATTATTTTATTTTCTTTTTTTTCCCTTAGTCCGCCTCAACAGCAYTGTCCATCTTTATTCCTAAAGTAAGAGACAATGTCATTGCCGATGTAGAGAAGCAAGTTTCACCTTTCAYAGRCCTTTCTTGCAATCTAGAAGTCGTTGAGAGAATGGRACGAGAGCTTCAAGACGAATACTGGAGCGACCAGTGGGTGCAAAATGCTAGTGAAGTCCTAAGATGGCCTGCCTTCTCTGACGCGATGAAAGAGGAGACTATGAAAGATATGCAGAACTTGATGAAATGGATTGCCAGGGCAACGTATGGAGGCGTGTCAGACGGAATCAGATTTGGAGAGATTGACCCAGAAACCAAGAAGGCCAAAATGGAGAAACAACCCGGCGGTGATGAAGGCGAAGCAACTAACGAAGATAGCAACGTAAAAATCCCAAGTATCCCAACCACATCTGATAAAAGTTGGCAGGACCACGCACTGCACATGACCCGAATGGCCCGAATGCTCTCTCAAAGAAGTGACGACCCCACAAGGCGCGTTGGGTGTGTCCTCATGTTGCATAACGAGGTGGTTGCTCTGGGATGGAATGGCTTCCCAGCCAAGGCTCTTTATGGAGAGTTCCCAAGAGCCTCAAGCACAGACCCAGGCGCAGAAAAGAAGGAGCCCTATGTCATCCACGC